CCTTTACGATAGAACTGATATTGTTTTTCGTATTTTTAACGCATATTCATATAATGAATATAACACATATTCATAACATATTGTTGTTTATTGTTTATTTTTACCTCGTCCCGCCCAATTTAGGGCACACGAGAGTAGAACAAACATTCTACAGACAAAACATACATAAAACATGAAAAATTATAATAGCAACAAATATATAGAGATATAAAGAATAAATTAACATAGACATACAAAGAATAAATTAACATATGAAAATACATATGGTGAAATGCCTTAAGCAAAAAGCATAGTAAATAAATTTAACTTAACTTTAAACTGAAGCACAGAATTTAAAATGCATTTAAAAATTAAGTATATGAGAATGAGTGACAGCTAGGTTATATTGTTATTTGAATTTGGTGGATTTAACATGTCTTCGATTGTAATTTTGATGATTTCTTTAATAATTCTTCTGCAGGTAAAATTTGAGTATAGCTGATGTTCTGTTTTGTTCTGGAGTTCCGTGCCACGCTGTGCATGAAATTTTGGGCAGTGGCAAATCAAGTGTATTATATTTTGTTCAGAGTCGCAATATATATGACGCAACGCATATTCATAACATATAACTATCCCTCATGTTCACTTTCCTTTGCACAACCCATATATTAATGGCTTTTCGTGAAACATTATGATGTCATCTTCCACTAAGGCAATGGTGCCAAAATTGAATAAGGCAAATAAGTGTTATTGTGCCACGTTTTTTTTTTCTCCTTTTAACTGTAGTGAAAAATTGTTATTGTTTCATGTACCTTATTTGAAGCATGATCTATTATCATACCTAACACAAATCCTAATAAGAGCTCATAACCAATAAAAAAAACCAGGAAACATTTCTCTTGCCTCATTTAATTCTATAAAATTGATTTAAAAGCATTAATTTGGAATGCAATTGGCTTTTATTATAACAAGGGGTGGAGCTTTTATAAATTTATGCAGGTTTATATATTTAATGCATAAATTTATATGACGTCTCAAAACATTATTTCCTTTGCAAAACATTAAATAATTTCATTAATTGCAGCTGTTTCTTTTTTGGAATATTGGAAGAGGAAAAGCGCCAGTCTTGCACACCATTGGGATTGCATGGATTTTGAAGAAGAAGAGGTAAAACTTCTACAAATAATATAAAAACCTAAATTGAAATGCATTTTCTTTTTCAGAGTTGCGAACAATTTATTACTTCAATTTATTTCATACTCTGATCAGCTACTATAACGATATGAGTTTAAAACCGCTTTTTCTCAGGGCCCGATTTTGCCTATTTGGGACCGGGGGCAAAACTTCTTTGGGCCCCCTCCCTCTGAACTATATGGAGGTATTTAAATGTTTCACTTTATTATCCATATATAACAAGAAAATTGACTAGAACCTAAAATAGATGTAAAGTCGTCCCCCTCCCTCTAATGGTATCGTTCTGTCCATTTTATTCATTTTCTGACAATTCTATGTCCATCATGTCGAATGCAGTTTTCTGATTCTTAACTTTGTCGTCTAGCTGCGAAAAATTCATATCCTTGCTGACATTAGGGCAGAATTCAGCGAAATTTTCGCAATTACGATGGCTCACTTAAGGTAATCAGAAGCCTGTATTTTCGTAAAATATCACATTTTGCGATATATAAAAATACAGGGTTTTGATTGACCAAATTTGTCAATTGTAATTGCAAAAATTCAGCTGAATTCCGCCCTAGAAAGCCATGGATTTACGAAATATAGATTTATTATGTTCATACGATAGATTAATGAAGAAGCTAACATAAAACAGACGGATTTTACACTATACTTATATTTTGTTTAAAAAAGTGCATTAAAGAATTAAATCTAAAATAAATATTTCATTCGATTTGGAGGCCCCTTCTGAAGGGGGGCCCGCCCAGGGCAACTGCCCCATGTGCCCTTGCCTTTGTCAGGCTTCGTTTTTTCTCTCTTAAGTAGTAATTTTCTAACCTTTATGTACTATGTTTCTTTCTACTTTATCCCTATACGCAACCGTACAATGTTCTAATTTTTATTTATTTATTTATTTTTCTTATCTGCGCAGGAGAGGCCTCGTCCAGAATTTGCAGCTAAGGCTCCCTGTGTTGAACGAAATCCAATTACAGGAATTAAAGAGCCATCTTTTCCCACATCTATCAGGTACAAGAGAATAGCAATTGGATCAGGTGCTATACTCGTGATGGTGAGACAGTCGATTATTATTAGTATTTAAGATTTGATGAATGAAATGAAATTAATTTGTAATTCTGTTGGTCTTTTGCAGATGGCCTTAGTTATGATATTCATCGTTGCTGTTATCATTTATCGCATTTTGGTGTCTATATTTCTATTTAGAACGGANTAAAAACGGACCCTTCACAAAATATTTTATCTTAAAAACGGACCCTTCACAAAATAATTTATCTTTTAATCGGACCCCTCACAAATTTGTTTATCTTCATTATTGTTTTGTTGATCAATAAACCCTTCCCAGGAAGGGGGGGGGGAAGACAGATGTAAACGAACTAAATTTTGTCTTCGGCAGACGGTTGCTCCATTATTCGTCCGAAATTAATATTCTGCGTTCAGCAGTATAGGCTAAATACCAAATATTTATATGTTGCATCGCTGTTTTAGTAGCTGCAATTGTTGCTTATTTTTAAAATTTAATTTTTTTAATTATAATTTTACAGTGTTGAGCATAATCTTGTATGTCTTTACAATTTAAAAACTCCTTGAAAAAGTTTTTTTGCAATTACGGACCCTGGTTGAAAGAATGTGACTTAACGTTTATTTTATATTCACAAATTAAGAGTAATTTTTTCACAATTTTACAAAAACGGACCTTTCACAAAATGTCTAGACAGACCCCTGACTCTGTGTTGATACCCTTCCTTTTACATGACAGCATCTCCTAATAACTTCGGATCAGAAAAAAAATCTGAATACCAGAATGAATAACCCCGGGGAACAAATTCTTTGCTGCATTTATACAAGTACTTGATCGTGTCTAATTCGATTTGATTTCAAATCTGAAATTAGTTTTGCTCTTAAAGCTAAATTTTATTTTTATTCTTAAGAATGATATTTTAGTCTATTTTTTGTTGAAATGCACAAGTTTAAAAGCATTATATACTATAAGAGGTAATCGCATAAATGTTACGATGAACTTTTGGGGGAGTTAGGGAACATCAACAGAATTAAAATTGCATTGTAACCCATTCACGAAAACGTAATCACTCACGGCTAGGGGCGTTTTCTTATAATGACCAGTTCGGAAGCGCACGAAGAAACATAGTGGATTTCCCCTAGTGGTATATGACGACAGCCCCAGGCATAGGTTCTTATGGATTTTTAATCCTGATGATGCGTCCGAACTCCCCTAGTAGATTGTTGTAACATCTGTGCAACCCCCTGTTATATATAGCGTTCGAAAATTAGACTAAACATGTCATTAAAAAAAAAAACGCTTTAGCTTGGAGAGAAAAATAGATTGTAAATTTAAATTCAATGACGTGAAAGTATGGAAAATCAATTCAAAAAGTCTTACGAAAAATTAAACAAAAAAAAATTGTTCCCTAATGTAATTTGAATATACAAAAGCATTTTTATTTATAAAATGTGCTGTTTTGGTACCAATTTCATTGCCTAAAATGTCGTCTACATTAATAAATTAAACTCTGGTGCACGACAGCACAAGGAGGGCCAATGCCTACTATGTCTCTCCCAGTTTTCTTGACCTTGGATTCTGAGGTGAAGGAGCAGATGCTCCAGTTTGGATGCAGCAAAACAATGTTCAGTCCCCAAGCAAGCTCCGTACTTACTTTATCAACCCACTGTAGGGATTAAAGGCTGAGTAAAACTTGAACCTCAGACCAGTGTCACAGGGGACCAAAGCGCTGCCATTCAGTCACGGGTCATTAACTAATGACCATTTTTAAGCTTAACTTCTCGAATAATTGAAATAAATTTGAATAAAACTCAGATTATTAGATCAAAGGTTATTCAGGATGTTTAAATTTTTCATTATTTTATTTTAGTTTATTTATTTTTCATTTATTTTACTGAGTTTATAAATAAGTAAAATTATTTATGGAATAATTAATATAAATTGCATCGCATTGAAACTCAGATTATCAAATCAAAAGTTATTCAGGGTTTTGAATTGTTTTCTTATTTTATTTTATTTTTAATTCATTAATTTTACTGCCTTTGATGTGTGCTAAAATAATAATAATGATTAGATTTTCCTTCACTAAATTCTCATTATTTCAGGAGTCAATTTAAAATACTTTTATTTTAGCCTCGATTTTTTTCATGACTAATTAAAGAAATTAATTTCGAAATAGATTCTTTTGTTGCGAAACCATTCCGGTTTTTGATTTTAGATTGGAAAATCTTTGTTTTAGGTAATTTAAATTTTTTTTATTTCATTATTTTACTGCAGTAGTTTCTTTTCTTTTCAACTAATGAAAACAATTAACTTTAACATTTTTTATGTGTTTCAGAAATGCACCGAACTCAAACTGATTTTGATGACAACTTGACATTCAAAGTATTCATCTTTCAGTTTATCAACTTTTACTCTTCAATATTTTACATTGCATTTTTTAAAGGAAGGTATGTTAGATTTTTTTTTTAACCAGTGCATTTCAAAATAAAAATATATAATATCTAATAAATAGTAATACTTTCAACATTTAATTAAAATATTTTTTTCAATTCTAAAGTAATGCAAAAGTTGTAAACTTATGTAAAAGTTGTAAAATTGTAATTGTAAATCAATAGTATTATTTTCGAAACTTTTGCTTTAACATGTAAACGAATATGCTACATACTGTAAAATAATTTCTTGTGTGTTTAAGTCCTTTGACAATGCTTATGACTCTTAACTTTGAATGTTTTACATTAATGTGTAAAAGAATACGCTACATATTGTAAAATAATTTCTTATGATTTTACCTCCTTGGACAATTCTTATAACTCTTAACTATGTCTGTATTGCATTAATATGTAAAAGAATATGCTACATATTGCAAAATAATTTCTCATATCATTACGATCTTTGACAATGCTCATAACCTACTACTCTTAACTATGCATTTGTACTCTCTAGAGTTTTTTAAGAGTTTTTTATATACTTTATGAGATATAACTAACGTAACCAAAAAAATCGTCTTTGATGAAGTTAGCATTCATTATCATTTTCTACTTGCAGATTTGTTGGATATCCTGGAAATTATAAGAAGATGCTAGGACTTAGGAGTGAGGAGGTAAAATATAGACGCTTTGCATCCATATATTTTTTTTTAATTTATTGGAAAATTTTTGCAAAAACATTCCCTAGTTTGGTTATGCATTCGCGATTTAAAAATAAGTCTTTAAATTTAAAACGTTGTTTAGTGTATATATTTTATTTATAAATATAACTCATCAGATAATTTTAATAAAATTTCCTAATATTCAGTTATTTTCTACAAACTGAAATATTTTTAATTAGAATGCTGCATTAAAAGAGAACGAAACATAGGGGTTGTTTCATTATTATTCCCTTATTTCTAGAATACTAACAGATTCATGAATAGCATATAACAAGCAAATAGTCAAAATTATATATATATTTGAGAAGTTTATTTAAAGAAAATTTCGAACGACGTTTTAATGAATATCATCTTTGGAGTTGGAAAAACATTAATGAGAAAAGCACATTTTCTCATTAAGAATCATCTTATTTAATAACCTGAAAGAAAACAATATCTATACTTACCGCTAAACATATTCCAATACAATAGAAACATGTTATGTTTAGCGGTAACATTCCAATAGAAACATAACAAATTGGAATGTTTTACGACAACAGTTGTAAAACATTACAATAGAAACAATGGAAACATTTACAACAGATTCTTCCATTTAATTTTAGACGCAATTTTAAGTTTAAATATAAATTTAGCTCTCATATTTAAATTTAGACTTGGATTTTAAATTTTATAATTCAATATGCATTAAAAAATGTATTCGTATTACATTACACTTGGTACTTATTGATGCGCCTGTAATTTAGACGTTGTAAGCTAGACGCATTTATATCTTATATTCAGATATCTTTCCTGGGGGGGGGGGGTTCGAAGACTCAGATTCCCTCCCCCCACACACACAATTAATTTTTTTTATGACAAAAATAGTTTTTTTAATATTTTTTTTGGAAAAAAAATAGGGGTTTTAATGCTAGTCTTCTCAGTTATTTTTTTTCATAATAAACAATAGAACAATACATAACTAATTCAAGCATTCAAAATCTTTGAATAATAAATGTAATGCATTTTTTCGAAACTTTGGTAAATCTGTCAATGATTTTTTCCACATCCAAATCAATTTCTCGATGAATGTTTAATAATGCGAGTCCATTTATAATTAATATTTATAACAATTTTAAAAATATTTTATTTCTTTTGTAAGCTATTAAACAACTTATTATTATTATTTTTTTCAATTGGGGGGGGGGGTCATGATCCCAATGCCCCCCCAGCTGGATATATCACTGCTTATATTTCAAGATGCTTGTAGACAAAATTCTTTAAATCTGTTTCATTTATTGCTATTTGGTTGTTTGTAACACTTATATTCCTTTGAATTTAAAACGTAAACTACAGTGTAATTTAAGTTTTAATTAAGATTAAATTATTATTACGGTTTTCGGAATATTTTGCTCCGTTTGTTACAGTAATTTTTTTCTACTTAAATTGCAAGGACATTTTAAAAGTCAACAAAAATAAAATTGCATGCAATTTTATTTTTTATTATTTTTCGACAAAAAGATTTTAGAATAAGCCTTTAACAATGATTAATTTGATAAAAGTAAATTTATACATGACACATTAAGGAATTAATTAATTATCGAATAAATAACGCTACAGTTAAATGGATTTCGTATTTCCTAAGTTAGATTCGACATACTTTTTAATTTTTTTTTCTTTTGTGTTTACTCTAATTTTTATCGGTTTTTGTTGCGGGGCACTATTTTGAATCTCTTATAATTCCTGAACCATTGTTGCAAGGGTTCTGAAATTTAGACATCCGACTACAAGGAGCAATTTTAGCTCCCGTTCCGAAAACTTGTTTAAAAATTTCAATTTTCCAGTGTGGGAGAAGTGTTTGAAAAATTATTTTTATAGCATTAGCTTAACATTATAGTTGTAAGGAAAATTTTTAAAGAATGCTGTTTAAGATTTTATAGCATGTCCTTTAATGATTAATTATCTTTAACAAGCTCAGTTATCAACATGAATCAACGTTATCAACGTCACCAAATTAGCATTTCTACAGTTTTTAACCATGTGTTTACTTAGGATATAGTTGTGCTTT